GCGGGGGTCCCCAGCTTCACGGGAGGGGACGCCACCCCCCCCCCAAGCCTCAGACCTTGAGCGCCTTGTCCGGCGCGGCGCTGGGGCTGCCGGCGGCGCTGCCGTCGCTGCCCTTCTTCTTGCGCAGGGTCTCGATCCAGCCGGCGCTGGGGCGGGCGGCGAAGCTGGAGAGGGCCAGGGAGCTGAGCCGCATGTTCTTGCCCGACATGATGAGCTCCCCGAAACCCTCCTGGTGGGAGAAGGCGTAGCCCGAGCGGCGCGACCCCACGCGCCCCACGCGCCGCATGCACCGGTGCTGCGTCTTCTGCTTCTTCCGTACCAGCTGAGTGTAGCGCACCTGGGGACAGGGGGACGGGGGGACGGGGTCAGGGACCTGCAGAACCACCTGCCCCCCAGGGGACAGGACCCCGCGTCCGTCCCCAAAGCCACGCGCTCTCACCGTGTCCGAGAGTTCGGGTTTCAGGTCCAGCTTGAGGAAGCGAAAGGCCACCACGGGCATGATGCAGACCACAGTGGTGAGGGCGATGGTCAGCCAGACCGTGGGCTGGGCCAGTGTGTTCTGCGCGTTACCTGCCGGGGGGGAAGCACAAATGCAGCCAGGGCTCGGCTGGGACGGCACCCACTGGGGTTGGGGGGGCATCGCTCAGCCCCCCTGGGACTCACCCACGAAGCGGAACTGATTGGGGAACATCTGGAAGAGGCCGTCGCTGTGCATGGTGAAAAGGATGGCAAAGTAGGCAGCCAGGCTGCCCCAGATGAAGAAGTGGTTGATGGCCGTCCAGAAGCCCGTGTCCAGCCCGATCTGGTGGAGAGGAGGAGGAGGAGGAAGAGGCTTAGGGAACAGCCAGGTTGCTCTGAGCACGGCTGCAGGGCAGGATGGCACCCAGACCTTCACCCACCCTTGGTGCTCCAGGTGAGGGGCTGGAGCCAAGCACCGTGTCCCTACCTGCACGCTGACAACGATGACGAGGGAGGTGGCCACGGTGACAGCAAAGGACTGGTAGTCGGCCAGCTGGGCGCCATCATCGCGGGTGGCGTCAGCGAAGACGCCGTAGGGGATGAAGAACATGAGGACAGAGGTGTAGATGCCCTGGGCGATGCAGATGAAGAACTCCCGCTTGTTGAAGAGCAGGTTCAGCTGCCCGGGCTCATAGAGCTTGGGGTACTCCATGCTCCGCTGCTCCGGCACGTCCTGGGGGCACAGGGCACTCTGGGCACCTCCCTCCAGCCACAGGCACCACCGGAGCTTGACCAGCTGCCAGTGTGGGGACAAGGACAGCCCACCTGGGCAGCCCTTGGGGACGTGCAGGGGAGCCCAACCAGCTCCTTGTGCAGCCAGAGACCCCCCCCCCCACCGCCCCCCGCCGTACCTGGTCGAAGACGCCCATGGCAAGCACAGGCAGCGACGTGTAGACGATGTTGTAGAGAGTGATGAAGTATTGGTCGTACACGGTCTGCGTGGGACAGAGCGTTGAGGGGGACGTGAGACCTGCCCGCCCCGTGTCCCAACCCTCCCCGCAGCTGCAGGGACAGCAGAGCCACCGCCACCCCCCCGGGGGTGCCCACCCCGAGCAGCGCTGGGTGCTGCTGCCACCGCGTGGCAGCCACGGCCAGACGGGCTCCTCACACCCATGAGCTCCTGGCGGAGGGATCCCAGGCCGTGGTGGGGCAGGATGGGCTCCCCCCCGGGAGCCTGGGGACTGGAACATGCTTCTGAGCAGGGGGGTTCCCCCAGGAAACCCCCACCCCCCAGCTGCGAGCGTGAGGAGCCAGCAACGCACCTGGGCTGAGAAGCCGCAGAAGAAGCCAAACCAGAAATGGACCATGGTGAAGGCGAAGTTCTTGTAGAAGAAGTAGCAGAGGAACTTGCACATGCGAAGGTAGGACCAGCGCCCGTGCACCAGGAGCAGGCGCTGCAGGAACTTGAACTGCGAGAAGGAGTAGTCGGAGGCCAGCACGGCCTGGATGCCCTCCTGCCCGCTGATGCCCACCCCGATGTGGGCGGCTGCAGAGGGAAGAGACACGTGGAGTGAGGAGGGGTCTGCCAGGAGCGAGGACAGAGGCTGCCACAAGCCCCAGGACAGCACAAGAGGGGACCTGTCCCCTCCCGCAGCTCCCCAGACCCCAGGACTTACTCTTGATCATGCTGACGTCGTTGGCCCCGTCCCCGATGGCCAGGGTCACAGCTTTCTTGTACTTCTTCACCAGCTCCACCACCTGGGCTTTCTGCAAGGGTGTGACGCGGCAGCAGATGACGGCTTTGCAGGCACAGGCCGTCTCCAGGAACTCCACCTCCATGTCAGCCTCCAGCGCGTGGGCCTGTGAGGAGAGCGGGGGGACAGTGGGGGGCATGGCCAGCAGCTGGGCACGGTGCCCCCGCCAGCCCGGTGCTCCCAGGGCCCTACCAGGCTGTGCCCGTTGATGACCAGGGCGTATTCGCCCGCGATGGCTTCCAGCACGGAGGTGAGCTTGGAGGAGGAGAGTTTCTCCTGGTAGGAGAAGCCATTGCCCATGGAGCGTGATGCGTCCATCATCTTCTCCCGGGCTTTCCTGGGGAGAAAGAGAGGGGTCAGGGGCCCCGATCTGGGGCACTTCCATATCCCCCAGCTCCTCCACGCCAGTCCCACACATGTCCTGTGTCCTGTGTCCTCTGCCCAGCCCTGCCCCCCGACCCTCACCTGAGCTCCTCTCGCACCTCCAGCACGGTGTGGCCCGTGACCACAAACACCTCCGTCATGTCGTCCGTCAGCATCTTGCAGGAGTAGCCAATGTTCACAGCCGTTTCTGGGGACAAAAAAGCCAGGGTTGAGCCAGGGTAAGCTCCGGGGTGTGGGGGGGGCACTGTCTGTCCCACCACCCTCCAGGCAAGTGGCACCCAACCCATGTCCCATGTCCCATGTCCCCATCTCCAGCCAGCCCAGACGCCCACACCAGCAACACCTCACCCTGTTTGTCCCCCGTCAGCACCCAGATCTTGATGTTGGCCAGCGTCAGGATGGCGATGGTTTCAGGGACTCCCTGCTGCAGTTTGTCTTCGATGGCTGTGGCTCCCAGCAGCTGGGGGGACCCAAACAGACTGGAGGTCAGCAGGGGCTGCCCCCCAGCTGCCTCCTGCCCCCCAGCCACCTCCCAGCCCACCACGTACCATCATATCATGCTCCACCTCGTCGTACAGCCGAGCCAGGCGATCCTCACGGGCCTCGGGAGCGCTGCCGGCTCGGTGCAGCCGCTCCGACCAGTCCTGGTAGTAGCCCTCCTCTAGGTCTTTGTAGGCCAGCACCAGCGTCCGCAGCCCCTCACCAGCATATTCCTGCAAGGGGACGGAGCTGGGGGCACAGGTAGACCCCAGTGTCCCCAGATCCCCATCACCCCCCAGGACAGGGCACAAGCCTGTCTCCACGCGTCTGGACAGCCCCTTGTCCTTCTCCAGCCCTGCCCGCAGGACCCTGCCCCGCTCACGTTGAGGTGGTCGGTGGTGACGTTGGTGAGGTCCTGGTTGACGGGGTGCAGGCGCTCCAGCAGGATGGTGTCAGCACCTTTGCAGTACAGCCGGATCTTGCCCTCGGGGCTGCGGACTGCGGGGAGCAGGGGACAAACCGCCTGGCTCAGGGGCACGGGAATAAATCCCACTCCGACCCCCAGCCATGACCCTACGAGGCCTCCACTGCCACATCATCATCTGCGTGGGGCTGGTCCCACCGCACCCCAGCCCCACTGCGGCCCTCCCAGCCCCACAGCCCCCGTGCCGTGCCCAGGACCTCACCGATGACAGACATGCGCTTGCGGATGTTGTTGAAGTCCAGGATGGCCAGCAGCTGGTAGGTGATGGCTTGACCCAGCTCGTGCACCGTGATGGTCTTGGGCGTACGGGACCGGAACACGAAGCCAAAGTTTCTGGCAGCCGTGACCAGCGCTCCCTCGTCCGGGGACTGAGCCTTGTAATACAGCTCCCCTGGGGACAGCACGGGGGGTCAGAGCCAGCGCCACGTGCCCAGCCACGCAGGAAAAGGTCCTGCCCTCTGAGCCCACCTTCGCTCTTCTCCTCAGACATGACGGTGTGGCAGAGTGAGAGCAGGCGGAAGAACTCGTGCACAAGGGGATCTCCCAGCTTGACGGCTTCCAGCAGGCTGGGGTCCCAGAACTGGAACCGTGGGTCCGCCAGGGGGTTGAAGGAGAAGTCAACTGGCTCTGGCCTCTGGTGGGGGAAGAGACGGGGTCACCCCGCTGGGGCACAGCCAGGCACCGCGCCGGTCCCGGGGCACCCTTACCTCTCCCAGCTCCGCCTTGTGACCCAGCACGTCCTGCACATCACCTGTGAACCAGGGCATGGAGTTAACAGGGAGGAAGCACAGGAGAGACATGGAGCTGTTGGAGCGGGGCCAGAGGAGGCCCCAGAGATGCTGGGAGGGCTGGAGCCCCTCTGCTGGGAGGGGGGGCTGAGAGAGTTGGGGGGGTTCAGCCTGGAGAAGAGAAGGCTCCGGGGAGACCTTGGAGCCCCTTCCAGTCCCTCAAGGGGCTCCAGGAAAGCTGGGGGGACTCTGGATCAGGGAGGGGAGCCATAAGACGAGGGGGAAGGGTTTGAAGCTGAAAGAGGGGAGATTGAGGTTAGATTTTGGGAAGAAGTTCTTTATTTTGAGGGTGGTGAGAGCCTGGTCCAGGTTGCCCCGAGAAGCTGTGGCTGCCCCATCCCTGGAGGGGTTCAAGGGCAGGTTGGAGGGGGCTTGGAGCAACCTGGGCTGGTGGGAGGTGTCCCTGCCCAGGGCACGGGGGGACTGGGTGGTCTTTAACTCTAACCATTCTGTGATTCTATGACAGGCACCCAATGCTGCTGCCCCACTGGCACCACACCCAGGGGGGGCCGTGGCAGCCCCACAATGCTATGGCTGAGCCTCCTCATCCCCCGGCCACAGAGTGCCCCACCGCCCACAGGGAAACGCAGCCTGGCCCTGGTGCCCTGTGCTCACCGTAGCTGTGCCCGTTCACGGAGCACTTGCTGAAGACCATGATGTTCTGGGTGAGGGTGCCAGTCTTGTCGGAAAAGATGTACTCCACCTGCCCCAGCTCCTCGTTGAGGGTGGTGGTCCGGGCCTCAGCCGGCGTCCGGCGCTTGGCACAGTACATCTTCTTGTCCCAGTTGATGAAGTAGCTGTGCCCGAGACGGATCACCTCCACGCTGTGGGAAGGGGACAGCCGGGTGTCACCGGAGCAGGGCAGTAGGCTCTGCTGAGTCAGCGACAGGCGCACACACACTCACCCACCCACCCCGGACCCCCAAGCCCCTGGGGCACACAGGGCTCCACGCTGTTTGCCGGCTCCCGCGCCCGTCCCTGGGGCTGGCCCGTCCCCGCTCCTACCGGCAGCCACCGCCAAGCCAGGGCTGGGGATGAGGGGCCTGGCACTGAGTGGGGGGTTCCCCGGGCATCTCACACACCTACGCGCCCCAAACCCCCTCCCCGGCCCCCAGGGCAGACAGCAATGAGCTAGTGCAAGGGGTGGGGGCGACACGTTCTTACCTCGGGGCTAAGGGTGACAGAACCCATGCTGGGGAACGAAAAGAGAGAGAAATTAAAAGAGAGAGAGAAGGGGACAGTGCAGGAGCCTGGGAGCTGCAGGAGGGCAGAGCAAAATAACCAGCATGCAGCCAGGGCAGGGAGAGATGAGCAGCCAGACAGACACAGCCAGGGGGGCCCCGAGGGACCTGTGGGGTCTCAGGTCTTGGGGTATCCCCGAGGGTAGACGTGGCCCGTCACCCTGACAGCAGCCCGCGCCCACCCCATACACACAGCTCTGCCCGTGGGTCTCCATCCCCGTCTCCCCTCCCCAGAGGGCACCCCGAATTCCTGGTGCCTGCCCCTTGCACCTCCCCAGCCTCTCAGCCCCTGCCCTACCTCACGTAGAGCGAGATGGGCACCACAGTGTTGAGGATGATGATGTAGGACCAGAAGGAGAGAAAGCCGGAGAAGAAGGCACTGTGCACCCCCTCATCCCAGGGCAGGTAGATCTGGAAGCAGACGCCCACCTCGTGCTCCCAGATGGCGTTGCCGATGGCCAGGATCACCCCCATGCACACCAAGAACCCGAAGATCTGGGGACAAGGAAAGGACACACATCAGAGCCCCAACCGGGCCAGCGCCGGGGCTCCCTGGGACCCACCTTCCCCATACCCAGAGCACCAGCGTGTTCATCAGCCGATCGATGCTCGTCCGCTTGAACTTGGTCCGGCCACTGTTCTGCATCAGCTTCGTGTCGGGCCCTGGGGACAGGGAATGGCATCAGCAGGGTCTCTGCCACGTGCCCAGTGCGGTGGTGACAGGGGTGGTGGCTGTCCCCCGCCCACCTGCAAAGATGACGAGGCCGAAGCACCACTCGGTGTTGCGCAGGACGCAGCCCCGCAGCAGCATGTTCTGGTTGCTCAGGGGGTACTTGTTCTCCTTCCAGTACAGCGTCCCACCAAACTTGTCCAGTTTGTTGTTGGGGGGTTCACAGATCACCTCGCCTGGGTGCAGGGGATGGCTTGGCTGTAACGTGCCTTCTCCATGTGGCCAGCTCCATCCCAGTGCTCCCAGCACTGCCCCCAGTCCCCAGAGCTCCGCTTCAAGCCACAGGACCACACCACCACACGGGTGGTCCTGGTGCCTCCAGGGTGGACCCACATCCAGGTGATGGAGAAGGAATCCCAGAGGACTGGTCGCAGGTACTCACCATCGAACCGAGCCAGCTTGCTGGTGTCACCCAGCTCCGAGGTGACGGGGATGGCCTGCCGCACCTTCATGTTGGTCTCTCTGCGGGCAAGGAGGCACCGCGTGGGTTAGAGACAGCCTGGCAGGGAGGGCTTTGGCAGATGCTCCCCATTTCAGGTCCCCAGAAGCTCCTGTCATGACCACAGCCCGTTCTCGCTCCTGCCTCCACCCGGGGCGAGGGGGGTGACCTACCCGTCCAGCTCCGCCGTCTCTATGTAGCACAACCCATGGGGTTCGCTGCTGCAGAGGAGGAGGAGGTCGGCCTGCCAGGAGAGACACGTGAAGGCTTGTGCTGCCCCTGGGGCTCCCCTACGCCTTCCCCAGGGACGCTCCTGGCCCTCGGATGCCAGGGCCCAGTGGGGTCTCTGGAGCTGCGTGTCCTCAGCAGGGCACTACCGGCACCCTGGCCCAGACACCATCGCCTGAAGCGCCCACATCAGCCAAATCCCCAGAGCTCAAATGCTCCAACGTCCAGGCTGGAAAGTCCCTGGTGTCTCCACCCCAGGAGGTGAGGGAGGAGTACAAAAGCAGTGCTGCTGTCCCTGTGTGCCACCCGCCCGGGACTGTGCCCATCTCGGGGCCACACTCACCGCCACAAACTGGTTGTTCTCCAACTTGATGATGTCCCCGACACGGACGTTCATCCACTGCTCCTGACGGAGGCTGCAGAGGACAGTGGAGAGGAGTTAAGTGGGGGCTGGCAGTGTGGCTTCTCCCCTGCCCACAGGGCCCAGTGTCCCCTCCCCGGCTGCCCCGTCCCCAGGACACTCACACTCCACCGATCAGCACCTGAGACTGCCGGTTGTTCACCTGGTTGTCACTTTTATGGCGGAACTGGGGAAGAGACAGCAGTGTCAGCCCCTCTGAGGACTGGGTCCTGCATCCCTCCCCCTGCAAATGCCCCCAGCATTGGGGTCACGTCCCCATGCCCAGGGGGCAGCCAGCCTGGGCAGAGGGGCGCGTGGGGGACCACTCACATAGTCGTCGGTGGCGTCTTTGACAGCTGTGATGGTTAAGACAAGAACTAAAGGCACGATGGTGGTGAACCAGGAGAGCGAAGAGATCTGCGGGATCAGCTGGGGACGGGGAGCGGGAGCTGGAAGGGACCAGGCCACCCCCAGACCCCCCCCACCCCTGCCCAAGGGTACCAAACCCCACACTTCCCAGGGGCAGAACATGCCCTGAGCCCCCCCCCGGCTGCCCAGCCAGGGAGGGACAGCGTGGGGGGGGGCACCTGCCTGCCCGGACCCCCCAGCACTCACCTGCAGGATGAGGAGGAAGAGGAAATAGGTGTTGGCCACTTCCTGGAACTGCTCGAAGAGGTTGACGGGCAGGAAGGTGACGATGTTGTACTTGGAGGTCTTGATGCAGTTGCTCTGGGGACGGACGGGGCAAGAAGGGGGTTCAGGAGCTGCTGAGGCCCCGTGGCCCCCCCAGCATCGCTGTGGGGGCAGGGCTGCAGCTCGCTGTGCCCCTGATCTGGGAGGTGTGACAGCAGCCTACCCCCCCCCGGCCCCAGCCCCTGCTCTAACGCCATGGCAGCTTCCTCGAGGCACCGATCTCTCCGCCTCGGTCCCAGCCAGTACCCAGGAACCAGCCTCCTCCGGCGGCAGCATCCTCAGCATCCGGGCGGCAGCATCCGACCCCCGCAAGGGTCACCCCAACCCAGAGCCCCTGTTTTTCCACCCCCCAGCAGCGAGGCCAGGGCAGGGCCTGGTCTGGAGCTGCCAGAAATAACCTCCAGCGCAGAGGGGGAGGCCAAGGTGAGCAGTGCCCCTCCCCCCGCAGCTCCGGAAGCTCGTTAATTAGCCAGACACAGAACCGCATCATCAGGGGACCAGGCAGGGGCGCAGGCAGAGCTGGGGGAGGGAGGTCAGTCCCCACAGAGGATGGGGGGCATCTCCCCCATGGGACCGTGTCATGGCCCCCTCCAGCCAGGCTGCCCCCGCCCTGGAACTCCGTTAGCGTTAGTGACTCGTCAGCACAATTTTCTTCAGGACAAACATCTATATTTAGCCATAACCCCCTCCCCCCC